TCACAGCATTTATACTGATGTTATTATTTAAAATAAACATTAGTTATAGTGGATATTCAAACATGTGTCATACAAGGACAATTTATTTACAACAAGAACTAAAGAAATAATCAAGAAATGTCAGAAGTACTGTCAATTGGCAGAGAACGTTTCATATATTGTGTTATCGTCTCTTTTTTCCAAACAGAATATGATAAAACCAAAACTTCGCAGCCTTTGTAAGGAGGAAAGACTGTCGGGGCCAATGTTTTTGTCAATAGAGAAGGCCATCCATATCATGAAGCCTTGTCTGTAGCCAAAAGGAGACCTATCAATAATTCCTTACACCCACTAGCGGTCAACTCTAACTAAAACTTGCCCTACGAGGCGAGAGTCTGTGTAGTGTGTAATTCAGTTTGACGGCCGGTGTCCTGTGTATATAGGACTGGCGCCTCTATGTAGGGGCGTAAATAAAGGCCTAAAAACTAACCATCAATAATATGGACGTCAGTAACAGTTTTAAGAACATGACTCAGAGGCAGATACACCTGTGAGAGAATATGTGAAATGTTCACTGCTCATTGCCAGTACTTCTGACATTGTAAGATTTCATTTATTTTAACCATGGTTTAGCTGTAAAGTAACATTCAATGTCCCTATATCTTTGTTCATGTTGTAAATAAATTGTCCTTGCATGACACATATCCGAACGTCCACTATTACTAATGTTTATTTTAAGTAATAACATCCGTATATATGCCGTGAACCTCTCCAACACGCCTACTAACACCTATTGTGAAAGTAGAAAATATGTCGACGAACCAACGTTAGTTTGTAACGCTCTAAGCACTAACGCTGTCAGCATTACATCGCCATTACGTTGGTAACATTTACTGGCAACAAAACTTATCAAATTCTTTCGCTACAGCAACGTCGATTTCTGCGTCATTTAAAATTCAGGCAAGTTAGAAAGAACTTTTATATGAGTTTATTAGTGTTTATAATTTATCTATGTTAGATTGGGTCAAGATAGGTCATTTAGGTTAGGTTAGGTTAAGTTTAGGTTAGGTTAAATTATATTTCGTGAGGTTACATTAGGTTAGGTTAGGTTAGGTTAAGTTATATTTCGTGAGGTTACATTAGGTTAGGTTACATTAGGTTAGGTTAGGTTAAATTGAATTAATTTAAGTTAAGTTAGAATTAAGTTAAATAAGTTTAAGTTAGGTAAGGCTTGTGTGGTCTGTTTTCAAATATATATAAATAAATATATGGTTTAGTGGCCATCTTGGTGTAAGATAGAGAGAGAGAGAGAGAGAGAGAGAGAGAGAGAGAGAGAGAGAGAGAGAGAGAGAGACCTAAGTGATATTCTTCTTCTTCTTCTTCTTCTTCCTTTCTTTCTTTCCCTTTTCTTTCTTTCTTTCCTTTTTCTTTCTTCTTCGTCTCGTAACTGACCTCTTGACACTCTTCCAGATCGAACTCGTGACCTCGATTGCGACGTCAAACTAACCTCACGGGGCTTCCTCACCTAAGACACAACACCTTCCCTCATACCTCCCTCCCTCCCTCCCTCCCTAGCACACACACACACACACAAAACCATATCCCGGACTGAAAACTGTACAGAACTCCTTACTACACAGTCTACCACACTGTACATTCGCTATATCATATAACTCCCCGCTTCCTATATCATGCAATGTGTGTGGCAAGGGAATGACGCCTCGGGGTTAATTAAGATATAAACGGAAAATGATATTGGGGTTTTGAGCTATTAGTGAATGTGATTATTTTTGTGTTTGTTTACATGATCACCGACTCTGTATACATCACACCTCAGCCACTCCCTATCTTATCGTGGTGGTGCTTGTTATGTCAACTGTGTACAGGTATGTATGTATGTATGTATGTATGTATGTATGTATGTAGTGGGTTGGGGGGGGGTGTTATCACAAGAGTATAAGAGTAAACAGTCACCCATAGCGCCTGCCAGTACACTCTTAAGTCGGCGTAGAATTACAGTGTGATTGAACTAGAGGCTTGAGCTGTGTTGGGGTCCTTGAAAGAGTGTCGTGATTATGTGTATGGTTATCCGGGAGTAGTGACCACCGACCACAAACCTTATCAGTTTTTTTTTTAATACTAAAGAACACACCGGAAATTTTGTCAGATGGTTCATTACGATACAGGAGGTTAAGTATTTAGAAAGGAGATATAATTTCCTGGCAGACGGTTTGCCCAGACATGTAGCACTAGCACATGTCTTCTTCAGTAGACATTGATGGATTACGTGGGGCGCAGGGAGATGATCCTATTTGGTCACGTATTTTGTCTCATGTGATTAAATCTCCTGTTCCTATAAGAGAATTTGTTGTTTATGATAACGTTCTCTGCCGTCAACCGACACTTGGTGTTCCTGGCCACACCGTCACTCAGTTGGTTATACAGTACCTGCTACACTTGTACCAGTTACTAGTCCCCGTGCATGACAACCCATATGTAACCCACCCTGGTAAGAGGACAGGTGTTGCCTAATTACAGTAGACAGTGGTAATTGACTGGGGACACTATCAAGGAAGGCCATTATTAAGTGAATGCAGTCTTTTGAATTTTATACTCTTTATGAGTATTATTTTTAACTTTGTTTCTTAAGTTCTCATCAATTTCATAATTCGAGGACGTATTTATTGTGGTGGTCGAGGATTTGTAAGACACCATCGCAGATTGTTATAAATATTCCAGTTTGTAAGATAGCCACCTTGAGTATCTTAATTTAGCTTAGTTTTTCTAAGAACAAGTCATTACTAGTTTCTTAACTACCATTTTTATAAGGTTCACCGACATTAAGTGGCCGAGCGCCCTACGGGTATTACAGGCCCTCTTAAATTAAAACACGTGGATACATCATGTGATATGGGCGAGGGTGTCGGCGCCTGTACCGCGGAGTTAGCCAGTTCTTAAGCGGCCGTGACACAGTTAAAGACACCCTGCCTGTTACTGAAGGCAGGTAGTCTCTGTGTTTGATATAGAGAATATAGTCTGTTAAAATACAGTCACTCACCCTGGTCACTGGAAGACACACCCAGTCTAGGAGTAAACCTGGACCACAGTGACTGATCGACCCTAAGACAGAATGACTCCTACTCTCACGAAATTAACGAATTAATCCACAACAGAGGACTACCATTACATGTATGTATGTATGTATGTATGTATGTATGTATGTATGTATGTATGTATCAATATTTGCCATTCGTTAGCTTAACTACCAATCTTTTAATTTTCTTCATTTTCACGTAAATTATTTTTTCTTACACATCGAAAAACTTATTAATATAAAAATGGACGGAATATTGTAGGAGAGAGAGAGAGAGAGAGAGAGAGAGAGAGAGAGAGAGTTAAAAATCCATCGAAAACCTCGACCATAAAAGAGACATTTAAACTTTTACTCAATTAAAAACACAACTCACGATGACTAACATTATAATCTTTAACACACACACACACACACACACACACACACACACACACACACACACACACACACACACACACACACACACACACACACACACACACACACACACACACACACACACACACACACACACACACACACACACACACACACACACACACACGTTGATGAAGGATTCTTTGCATCCGTTGTTCTTTAAGGTTTATTATTGGGTTCTTGTAAGCTTCTTGGCCCTTAGCCCCTACCCGGCCCTTACCCCTTACCCAGCCCTCATCTCTTACCCGGCCCTTACTCTTTACCGCTTACTTGGCCCTTAACCCAAACCCGGCCCTCATCTCTTACCCGGCCCTTACTCTTTACCGCTTACCTGGCCCTTAACCCTTATCCGGCCCTTACTCTTTACAGCTTGCCTGGCCCATATCCCTTACCCGGCCATCATCCCTCACCCGGCCATCATCTCATACCCGGCCCTCATCCGACCTCCCCTCATTCCCTTACCCGGCCCTCATCTCTCAACATAATGTCAACACATCAACATAACGTCAGCACACATCATCAACATACGTCAGCACATCAACATAACGTCAGCACATCAACATAACGTCACCACATCAACATAACGTCACCACATCAACATAACGTCACCACATCAACATAACGTCACCACATTAACATAACGTCACCACATCAACATAACGTCACCACATCAACATAACGTCAGCACATTAACATCAATTCAACAATAATATGTTCATTATTAATTTAACTTTAGGACAAGTTTCTGTTTTATAATTATACCAAATTCTGTGTCAATATTAACAAGTTGTTTTTAACGTAAATTCAACAAATTCGTTGGGTTTGGTTAGGTTAGGTTACGTCGACTTAGATCAGGCTAGGTTAAGTTATGCTGGGATGAAATGGTTAGGTTTGGTTAGTTTATGTTGGGTTAGGTTGGGTTAGGTTAGGATAGATTAGGTTAGGATAGACTAGTACAGGTAGGTTAGGTTAGGTTAGACTATTACAGGTTAGGTTAGGTAAGGATAGGTTAGGTTTAAACACATTGTTATCACATATTTTGAAGAAAACAAAAATCGCTCTTTGTAAACAAATAACATTTTACGTGTAACTCTGACAACAGTATCCTGACACAGTGTTGGCTATATCGTTTCATTATATTTTAATTACATTCTTAATAGTAAAGGCGTGAGGTGTAGCACAATATATGTACCTTCAAGGCTTGATAACAACTTGCTGATAAACCCGATTGGAAGCACCTATCAAGTACCCCCCCCCTCCCCCTCCCCCCGCCACCACTCTGCCACACAAATAATTGACTACCCTAAACACCTAACCTGACCTAACCCACCCACTGCCCTAACCCACCCACTGCCCTAACCCACCCACTGCCCTAACCCACCCACTGACCTAACCCTTCCACTGACCTAACCCACCCACTGCCCTAACCCACCCACTGCCCTAAACCACCCACTGCCCTAACCCACCCACTTACCCTACCCACCCAATCTCCCGTTCCACACATCTCCCCTATACCCACCATCAGTACAGAAAAGAAAAATGATCTGCTCTGAAAGAAACTGGAGGTAAGTCACTCTCTTAATTAAGTCTACAGTTGCCAGAAAGTGACTGATAATTTGTGTGTTAATATACTAATCGGTGTGAGTCTAGTTTGTATAGGGAGTACCACCTCTGGTCAATTAGGGGACCCATAGCCTCAGAGGAGACGATAAAGGCAGGTCATGGGAAGTGGTGAAAACTCTTCCATGACCATTTAGATATCGTCTCCTCCTACCACTCCCTGTTCTTTTATTCATTGTTTTTTAATTTATTTTTATTTTTTTATTTTTGTCAGCGAGATTAACAGTTACAAAGCAAGGGTTTTAATACTAATACACCATATAGCTGTTATATAAAGACTCCCTCAAACTCCTCAGTAAGGTATTATACTTCCTCTGAATTTTAATGTTTTTAATCTGAATACCAAGATGTGGACAACGTGAACAAACTGTGGGGCAACATTGATCCAACACTGAGTCTGTTGGTCACTGGTCACGTGGTGCAATGAACGACGTGACACTCAGATGTACACTCCAGCACTGAGGGGTGATGACCAAGACTCTCCAGTGATCGTATGTTAAACTTGTCTCGTAACTACTGTAATGAGAACACGACTAAGTGGCTGACTTTTAAGCTGATTCACTAATTTAATTCCCACAATGGCATCAAAACTGCGCTGAGACTCTACCTTAACTAGATACGTTCTCTTAGCACCAGTTAGGGGACAAAATTAACATACAAAATCTTGGTGAGTCACGACCATAGTTTGTCTGCTGCTGAATAATTCATTTGCTTACATACTTTTCAACCTAAAATTTATAAAACACTTTACATTACTCAACACAACATAGCTCTGGGAACTAAACCCATCAGAGATTTGTGACGATGTGAAGTGGAATGAACACTGCTTAATGACACACGCCGCCATATATGTACACAAGTCCTGCATCATTACACTTCTCACGGAGCGTCAAACTTTTCCACATCTTTCATTATTTTAATATTTTTTTGTGCTCGTTCCTCAGCCAATATTCATCCATTGAAAACACTGGTGGAAAAGTTTGTAGAAGAGAGTGACGCGCCGAGAGACAATTATAGGATGTGATAAGTTAGGGGTGAGCGCGGGACAGATGTGGGGTGACTGGTGTTCCCCTTGGCCCGTGATGGTTGTGGGAACCGCTGATGGCTGGCCCGGGGAGTCCACCAGTCCGCCACGACCCAAACAAACTTATCAAACACTCACAACAAAAGTGTGGTGGGAGCTGCAGGTTTCTGGCGTCAAGACCAATAATAAAAAAGAAGAGTTTGAAATGAAGAAGAAGCACATATACAGTTTATATCTTGTTCTGTACAACAACTTGTTTAGTTTATAGATCAGCAGCTCTGACGTACACTACCTGCGAGGCGGCGGTGTCCACGGCGCTTGGATGTTGAAGGTAGCGGCGCGGGCGTAGTGGGCGGCGGCGGTGCCCTGCCGTCCGCACCGCAGACCTCCCGATGATTGTCGCCAGGGTGAGAGGTGAGGGGGGCTGGGCGCGGGCGGGGGGCACAGCGCCCTCACCAGGGTGTGGGAACCTCCGCGCCAGTCTCGGGCTCCCCGACTCGTCCAAGAGGAAAATCACAGCCGGACGAGCGGCGGCGGTAGTGGGTGTCTACTGGTCTACGACGACAGAGGGTCGACAGGCCAGGACACCACGCCACCCTTACCCCTGCTACTGTAGCCGGGGTCCTCCTGTCGCTCCTGCTGCTGCTCTGGACGACACGGTCACATAGAGTACAGTTCCTGCCCTGCTGGTGGAGTATCTTGTGACTGCTGTGGCGGCTGTTGTTGCTGCTGCTGCTGCTGCTGCTGCTGCTGCTGCTGCTGCTGTAGTTGCCGTCGTAACGAGTCTAATTCTCTTAATGCTTTCTCCAACTGTTTTTTGAGCCTCTCCACTTCGTTACTGAGGGAGGCGTTCTCAGACTTGAAGTGACTGTTCTGCTGGCTGATGCGGGCCACCTCCTCCTGGATAGTCTCGTTCTCGCCTCGAAGACTTCTGTTGTAGTTCTCCAGCTGCATCTTGTAGTTCTGGCGCTTGGTGCGACAACTCTGAGCGTAGCCGCGGTTCTTGAGGGTTCGTCGCTTTTGCTTGAATTTGGTCTGGAGGTCCTTAGACATATTGTGAAGTCGACGATTAAGTTCCCTGACGGAGAGCGACACCAGCTCATCGTCGGAGATGTATACTGAACCTGTGTGGTGAGGGAGAGTCTGGAGACCCATCTGGCAGGATCCCTGCTGATCCACCGAGGTCTTATTGCTGGGTCCCAGAGGGTTAAGTTGGTGCCTTTGCTGGGCCATACTTGCCTCCCACTTGCGGTCCAGCATCCATGACTGCGGTTCCAGCTGCTCGCCGCCGCACGGTGGACCAGGGCGTAGGTCTAGCGGTTCTTGCATGTAGCGAGGGTTATATGGCCACATCTCCTCCATGAGGGTGTGTTGCGGTACACCTTGGAAGGGCGGCGAGGGTGGCAGGGAACCATTGGTGGGTGAGGACCCAGGTGGTGTTTCTGGGGGGGTCCCTGGCACTTGCGACGGCGGCTTGATCTGCGGCGTGGGCATTCCGGCGATGCCACCGGGGTGGTGATGATGATGATGGTGATGGTGGTTCATCCAGGCTCCGGCGGTAGCCCCCATGTTGGGCATGTGAGGGGCCATCATGTGGGTATGGATGCGGCCCATGCCCACACCGCCCATACCGTGAATGTCTTTGTGTTCCTTGACGCCCATGACGTCTTCGAGCGGCTCCAGCATGAAGTCCGCCACATACTCGCTGGCAAGACTTTCGTCCGTCATCTTCACGTTTGCATTACAGGTGGAGAGACCCAGCAGGAGTGTGTTGTGGTCAGTGGCCCCCCTCACCCCTGGCACTGTGGGTGTTGGTACTACTCCAGACGCTGTTGCTACTGTTCCTGACACCTCAAGTGGCACTGTTTCTGTTGTTGCTCCCACAACACCTGGCACTGATACTCTGCCCACGCCTCCTGGTTCTGTTACTGGCACTGTCGTCACTGCCACTGTCCCAGATACAATTGGTGGCTCTGTCTCTGACAATTTTGTTGCTCTCAAGAGCTCCTGGCACTACTACTGCTGCTGCTGCTGCTGTCACAGCCACTGTGCCTGTCTCTGTTGTTGCTGCCAGAGACACTCTTGTTTCTTTCACTGTTAACTGTTGTTAATGTCTCAGTCACTGTTCCTGGCACTGGTGCCACGTACTACATATCACCTACACTCACTCACCTCTACGACAGTCACTGCCAGTTACTCCTGAGACACTGACCACTCAGTAGCCACTCAACATGTAGTCACTCAGATATGTCCGTGTGTAGGTGAGTCCGTCACTCAAGCACTCATAGTTCACCTGGTGGTTGACCACTACACCTGAACCAAATACACCTGTGTAGGGTGTAGGACGCACCAGTTTATGCACTACCGCACGTATTGGCTTCAACCATCGGCTGACTCGTCGAGGTCACTAGCGGTGGTGTGGTGTGGTGTGGTGTGGTGGGCCGCTCTACAGTATAAGCTACACCTCAGCTTCTCGGGTTCTCCTTCATTCGTGTGGGTGTGTGAGCCGGGTCGGGTCGAGGTGACACTGTGGTCACTGTCGGTCGGGAAGTAGTGATGGTGGTGAGTAGTGTGCCACCTCACGCACGGCCCCGCCCAGCACCGCGCACCTCCCCCTCCCTCCCTAGCCGAACCCTCAAAGCCTCCACCCCCCTCCACTCTAACCTCCCCACAGCTACGTGACGTCAGAATGACCTTCAATCCCCCTTAGAGCTCGATATTTAGAGTGTTAATAGCCGTTCTTAGTGTTCTCTTCTCTAAACTCTATTATTCATGATGAATTCTTGTTGGTATAGCAGGAAGCAGAGCCAGGTATAGCTTACACCACCTCGTAAACAAAGCAAAAAACGTCTCAGCGGTGAAGTATAGCAATACATCGGGTGGGCGGAGTTACTATGGTAGCGGCGCGATATGATTGGTCGGGGGGCGTGGCGAGGCGTGGCCAGTAGGGGGCCAGGGGGCGCGGCTCTAACCCTTGCTGGCCAGGGCGCTTCTTGGCCCACCCACGCCTCACCCAGCCCGGCCAATCATCCCCGCCCGCACGCCCGCCAGCCCAGGGGGACGCCGCCCCTCTCCCTCCCTGCCTCCCCCAGCGTACCATGGCTCCCGCCTTTACACTCTATAATGTATTGATAACCTTACATAACATATATAATGTACACTGGAGCCGTAAATCCTCAGGGAGTCATTAGGCGTGTTTAATATACCGGAGTATAACCCTAGGAGGCCCTGCACGCCCACCAGTAATGGCCAGCCTCACGTACTGCACGCCCACACGCCTACCAATGGTTACCCCACGTACGCACGCCAACACGCCTACCAGTAATGGCTACCCACGTACTGCACGCTTAACAGTAATGGCCAGCCTCACGTACTGCACGCCCACACGCCCACCAGTAAGCCTCACGTACTGCACGCCCACACCCCACTAGTAATGGCCAGCCTCACGCACTGCACGCCCACCAGTAATGGTCAACCTCACGTACTGCACGCCAACACGCCCACCAGTAATGGCCAGCCTCACGTACTGCACGCCCACACTCCCACTAGTAATGGCCAGCCTCACGCACTGCACGCCCACCAGTAATGGCCAGCCTCACGTACTGCATGCCTACACACCCACTAGTAATGGCCAACCTCACGTACTGCACGCCCACACTCCCACTAGTAATGGCCAGCTTCACGTATTGCACGTCCACCAGTAATGGCCAGCCTCACGTATTGAACGCCCATACGCCCACCACTGATGGGCATCCTCACGTACTGCACGCCCACATGCCCAGCACTGATGGGCATACTCACGTACTGCACGCCTGCCTGCCCGTTTGCACTCCACTTGACTGGTGGCTCGTCCACCCACACGCCCACCAACAATGGTCTGCTTCACGTACTACACGCCCACCCGTACGCCCTCCAGTGATGTGCCTCACGTACCGTACTATACGCTCTCCCACCCGCACGCCCATCACCAATAGCAAGGGTGAAGTACGGCACCCCTACACATCCAACACTAGTAGTCAGGGTCACAGTGCACTCCCGCCCGCCCGCCTACCCACCATCACGCCCACTACCAATGTTTAGGCTGACGTACCACCCACCACCGTCAAGATGATCTCCAAGTGTGTAAGTGTTTACAGGTGTACAAGTGTTTACAAGTGTACAAGTGTTTACAGGTGTACACGTGTTTACAGGTGTGCAAGTGTTTACAGGTGTACACGTGTTTACAGGTTTACAAGTGTTTACATGTGTACACGTTTTCAGGTGAACACGTGTGTACAGGTGTACACGTGTTTACAGGTGTACAAGTGTTTACATATGTACACGTGTTTACAGGTGTACAAGTGTTTACAGGTGTACGAGTGTTTACAGGTGTACAAGTGTTTACAGGTGTACAAATGTTTACAGGTGTTCAAGTGTTTACATGTGTACACGTGTTAACAGGTGTACAGGTGTTTACAGGAGTACGAGTGTTTACAGGTGTACAAGTGTTTACAGGTGTACAAGTGTTTACATGTATACACGTGCTTATAAGTGTACACGTGTTTATATGTGTACAAGTGTTTGCATGTGTACAAGTGTTTACGTGTGTACACGTGTTTACAGGTGTACAGGTGTTTACAGGTGTACAAGTGTTTGCATGTGTACACGTGTTTACAGGTGTACACGTGTTTACAGGTGTACACGTGTTTACAGGTGTACAAGTGTTTACAGGTGTACGAGTGTTTAAAGGTGTACACGTGTTTACAGGTGTACAAGTGTTTACAGGTGTACAAGTGTTTACATGTGTACAAGTGTTTACATGTGTACACGTGTTTACAGGTGTACAAGTGCTTACAGGTGTACACGTGTTTACAGGAGTACACGTGTTTACAGGTGTACACGTGTTTTCAGGAATACATGTGTTTTCAGGTGTACGAGTGTTTACATGTGTACAAGTGTTTACAGGTGTACAAGTGTTTACAGGTGTACAAGTGTTTATAGGTGTGCAAGTGTTTACATGTGTACACGTGTTTACAGGTGTACAAGTGTTTCAGGTGTACAAGTGTTTGAAAGTTTATCATTATCGAAAGAAAAAAAGTGGTATGAAGAGAGATAAAAAGAGATAGAGAGAGAGAGAGAGAGAGAGAGAGAGAGAGAGAGAGAGAGAGAGAGAGAGGGAGAGAGACTCGACTAGGAAACTGAGAAGCCTCTTAAAAGAGAGACGGTAGGAGGCCGGGAAGGGAGGGGGTGAAAGGAGGGGATGAAAGTGGCGTTCTCTCTCTTCCTCTCACTTCCTCTCATTCACTCTCTTTTCTTACTCCCTTCCCTTCATCCCCTCCCTCAGTCTCCTCCCCTCACTTCCTCCTCCCTCACTATCCTCCCCTCATCCCCCCATCCCTCACTCTCCTTCCTTTCCCTCACTCACTCCTCCCTTCACCTTTCCCACCTTCTCTCACTCTTCCCCTCACCTTCCCTCCCCCGCTCTCCTTCCCTCACTTCCCCTTCCTCATCCACCTCCCTTCCCTTCCCTAACTCTCTCTCCCTCGCTTTCCTCCCCTCATTTCCTGCTCCTTCACTCCCCTCCCCTCATCCTCCCTCACTCTCCTTTTCTCACCTTCCCTCCTCTTACCACCCCCTCCGTACTGCCATCCCTCATCTCCTCCCTCACTCCCTCCCCTCACCTCCCCTCCTCCCTCACTCTCACCTCACCTCTCTCACTCTCCTCCCCTCCTCTTCCCTCACTCTCCTCCCCCTACATCCCCTTCCCTCACTCCCCTCCCCTCACTTTCGCATACTCTTCCCTCACTCTCCCTCTTTTAACTCCCCTCCCCTCACTCTCCTCCCCTCCTCTTCCCTCACTCTCCTCCCCCTACATCCCCTTCCCTCACTCCCCTCCCCTCACTTTCGCATACTCTTCCCTCACTCTCCCTCTTTTAACTCCCCTCCCCTCAGTTCCTCCTCCCCTCACCTTCTGCTCCCCCACTCTCCGGAGGGGGGAGAGGGAGGGTAGGGGGAGAGGGGAAGGGGAGGGGGAAGGGGAGAGGGTGGTGTGTCCCGGAATTGATCTAGGGTTTTGTGTAATCAGGCGAGAGAAATCCCTGTACCAGCCCGCCCAACCACGTATGTCCCTGTTGGTGGGCAGAGGTGGGCGGTGGTGGGTGGCAGGGGTGGGCGATATTGGTAGCAGGGGTTGGGCGGTGGTGGCTGGCAGAAGTGAGTGCTTATGGATGGCAGGAGTGGGCGGCAGGGTAATAATGATAATAATAATAATAATAATAATGATAATAATAATAATAATAATAATAATAATAATAATAATAATAATAATAATAATAATAATAATAATAATAATAATAATATGTGTGTGTTTGTGTGTGTGTGTGTGTGTGTGTGAGTGAGACCCTGAACTAGCACAAAAACAGATATATTCACATCGTAAATAATAATAATAAACTATTTACCAACCCATTACCATTTAAGCAGCGCCAGCACGACAACTTAACAGCGTCTGACGTAAGAAATTCCCAATACACAGGCGATTCAACAAGACACATATTCCTACACTTTAATCTAATCCTTATGCGTCAGACGAAAGATCGCCCGGCGTAACACAGAAGCGACACGACACCTTTCAACTGAGCATCGCATCTGATCGCCTCGTGAGCTCCCAATAGGGTATTTACTCCCCATTAATGACACCTTACCACAACACCAATCCCATCTGAGCCCTGTCCGATACGCTTTACTGCATAGGACCATCTGAGGGCCATCCTACCACCCCATTCACATCCTTCAGGACTTGGGTGGACGGGAGGGATGGTAGAGGTGTCGTAGGGAGGGTAGGGATGTGTGTTGAAAGGACGTGGGAAGGCGTGGGTGTGTGGGCGTGTATAAGGTGTGTGGGTAAGGCTGGGTAACCAACAGACCTCGGAGGGACAATTAGAAGATCATGGTCCGCTGCTGCTGCTCTCTCTCTCTCTCTCTCTCTCTCTCTCTCTCTCTCTCTAACTGATATTCATACAGTTGTGCGTCCTCTGTCTAGAGAAAGAGAGAGTAAAATAAGAAGATAAAGAAGGAGAGAGAGAGAGAGAGAGAGAGAGAGAGACTAGGTCGACGAACTGAACACAATATATCAACTCATTTAAAAAAAAAATCTCCCCCATCTAACTGTGTCACAACCCTGGATTATGTTTTCGTGTGGCCTCTCTCTCTCTCTCTCTCTCTCTCTCTCTCTCTCTCTTTTTCTCCGACCGTAAAACCCGTCTCTACACCACCACCCCCTAAATCACATGGCGTCGCCCGCCACACAACTTGCCTGAACAAAATCCTTGGACCAATTAGGTGAGTGTCCGGACCTATTAATCAAAGGTGATGCATTACCTGTCTGAGGTCGTGTTAAAGGGTTAATGGGTGACCTGAGATGAGTTAATGAGGTAAAGGGGAGGAGTGAACTGGTTGGGTTTAAGGGGGTGTGTGATCTGTCCGGATTAAGGGGGAGGGTTTGGTTTATGTTCGGATTAAACGAG